GAGCATACTTTGAATGAACTTACTTTGTATTGTTTTGTTTAAATAAATACATCTTTTTCATTTAAAAAGGGCGGAAACTTATTCCCATACCCAATAATTCAGTACAGAAAAGTGCACGAAAGTATGTATTATTCAGATATAGATTTTGAGACTTGCCAAGCATTTATAATCGTTCATTCATTTCCTAATTCCTTATACAGCAATTTAATTAAAGAAAAACTTTTGCAATGCAATACATATGGTGCAAAACATCGCGTGAATAGTGCATATGGTGCAGGTCCGCCATTTTGACGCAATCACCTTGAAAGCCAATTGCGGTACTTTGTTATCTAGTGACTTTACGCGTATATTACTATTAGAGGCCTAGATACCAGAGATGCTACATTGCATCGGTTGGGTTAGGTCGTCATCGCCATTTTAATTCAGTATAATGCTGGATTCATACTGCATCCGATTTGCGTCGTACGACACTCTGTAACCAATCAGAAAGCAGGATTCCGATGGATTTTGCTTTGTATAATCAGAATCCAGTTTTCTGATTGGTTACAGAGTGTCGTACGACGCAAATCGGATGCAGTGTGAATCCAGCATTATAGCGATTTCGGCTGGGATGCACTAGTGCACATAAAACTGTCATATACAATTGTCGTAAAAATGTATTAAAAATAGATTAAATCGTACAATCCCCAATATATTTTATTGTACTGTTAATAAAACATGTATGTGATAATTTTTATTTCGTTTTTGCACTCATAGTGATTTCGGCTGGGACGCATCAACTGCACATTTCGGGTGTCGGTGCAACTGGTGTGTTCGGCTGGTTGAATGGTGCAGTTCATCGCCAGTGTCATATGTTTGTCTGGATTCGGTACACCGCACAAGTATATAGTCAGTCAATAAAAGGTTGCAACACTTTTTAATTCGATGGTTTTCGGAATGCGCAAAAATTCTGATAGAGCAGACCATCATCTCTGAACGCCTATAGTAGGTGGTTATGATAGGTTACGATACTGTCAAAGTGATGCAGAATCGTCTTGTACACGGTGAAATAAAAAAAATGTGATATTACTGCGGTAGTTTAATAGAGTTAGCGTTTTCAAGAACGAAAAATCACTTTGGCGCGCGTTTCTGGGGACTAGATACGTAGTATATAAATTCACATAAGAATCATACAAGAGGCCTGTTCTTTTTGGCTGAACTTTTGCACCAGTTCATCTTTTTTCCTTTTCTATCCGGAAGGAAAGAAGAGGAAGAAAGATGAACTGGTGCAAAAGTTCAGCCAAAAAGAACAGGCCTAAGCATTAAGATCCAGCTAGACCGTTTAAGGCTTTGATTTCTATAGTTTGTGTTATCACAAATACGGTCCTATAATATATTATATTTTTAAAAATGTATTTGTGCGCAGCGCGCGCGGAAAATTCGTAAGATACCCTTCAAATATCATAAAATATATCGTGGTAAGTAATAATAAAGTAAACGTTAAATTTGTTTTATAAATTTATTTATATTTTCAAAAATATCATGTTCATTATTATTAAAAATTCAAAAATTAAAAGTAATAATATAACATAATATTAGGTGTTAAACTTAATTCCTATCGTTTTTTCGTCTCGAAAATCGATTTGTTTCGAAGGGAAGAGAATGAATATCTTAATCAAAGTAATTTCCTCCATTTTCTACTACTTTTTCCCATCTCTCCGGCAACAGGGCAACTCACGACGGTAGAACGCGGTGTCTTTCGAGGCGATCCATTCATCCACACATTTTTGGACTTCGTTGTAACTGGAGAAGTGTGTGTCCGTAAGTGCGTGTTGCATCGATCGGAAGAGATGGTAATCCGGCGGTGCCAAATCTGGAGAGTACACTGGGTGCGGCAGAACTTCCCATTCAAGCTCTCGAAGTGTCTGCTTCACGC